CTAAAGTAGTTTAGTTACCATTTTATTTTCAAACTCACCGTTGCATCAAATACTTGACCCGTTGTCTGATCCGTTGGCAATGTTATTGCTGATTTTTGTGGTGCTACCAAAGAGGAAATAAAATCATAAGTAGAACTTAACTTCTTAGCTAAACAGCGAAACAAACTAGCTTTGGGTTGTTCACAAGGAGGACATGTGGGAGCTTGAGGTTTCAAAGATGAAGGCAATTCTTGATATTCTGTGGCCTCAAAATCAGCACCCTATGGTGGTATAAAATGAAATATTTTGGCAGAATAACGGTATCAAAACTAACCATAATCAGCACTTTGTTGAGATGGCATAGGTCTGTACCATAGTGGAACTTAAATCTGGCTGTTGACTTTGGAATGTTTCATAGCCAGTGCGTTCACAGCAAGTAAGATCCTCAGGAGTAATTCGCCAAGAATGCATTTGGCTGGGGTCTTCACGCTTGGCAGGGCAAGCGGAACGGGAAAATAACTAAGAAAAATTATTAGTTATGAGGATATATAAAATAAAATTTGAAAAGATCTACTTCATCTTGACCACTGATATCCATATCATCACCTAAATATTGTGTCTCATCCGTAAGATCTATATACGACTTGTCAGGATATTCACATTGCCTTTTGTGATATTGGCTGGGTTCCGCAAACAGCGAGGCATTGTACTAAAAAGATAAAAAGGACAATATTATTTTGAATAATACGATAGACTTACATAATATGACTCATTTGTTGGAGCTGGGCAGTATTGAGATCTTTGAGTTTGCACTGTACGGGGGTAGGTTCTGTTAGGTAGGGATCTATAGTCTTCTTCCATAAGACAAGTGCCCTAGAGCAGATATATAGTTTTAAAATTAATATTTCTAACATAATTGATATACTTACATTATTATAATAACTAGATTGGTTAAAATTTCTCGTCGTTGGAATAGTGGGAGCTGGACAACGTGGGCTCTGATCACCAGAACGATAAGTTCTTTGCAAATCTCGCTAAATAGTTAAGATAGCAAATACTATGAGTAATAAAATATGTCTCTAGTACGGAGAGTGTATAAGTTTTTAGTTGATGAGTAAACTCGAGTATATTCGTTTCTCGTAATACGAGTACACTTGTTGTAGTGTGACAAGTAGACACGGCCTTATTATATATATCTATAATATAGACTTATACTTACGCAGTTTGTACTATTAGGATCCGAAGGCGGTAGAGGCGGAGGTGGTGGAACCGGTTGCTTCAAAAATAGATCATTTAATTTTTATTCAGTTATATCCGATAATATTATTACCGTTTTGTTTAAAAATGTTTTAGCTTTTGAATTCATACTTTCATCAAGCCTCATTGATTCCATTTGGGTAATGTTGTCTCTCATTGTCGAAGGGCTTATGGTTTTATGGAAACTTGCATTTGATGGTTGTCCGGGAGTTTTTAAAGGTGTCTGTGGTGCAAAACCTTTGGCTGGTGTTCGTCCATAACCCGAATCCAATTGAAGAGTATTATCTTGAGTAATATGAGAAATATTCTACCAATTTTTTAAATTTAGTTTAAACAATTTTAGGTTTGTTAGAAAAGGGCATTTTCTCTTACCCGTGCCTTGCGTCTAGGCGTTTGATCTTCATACAATTCAGTTGTTATATTGGGTGATTTTTGGGGTGTCGGACAAATCGGAGTTGCTGGGGAGTGAAGGGCTGCAATGGAATGATTTTTATTGTTAAGAAATTTTACAAGTTACTAAAAAATGGCATTTAAAATCACGATAGCATAAAACCTTTAATCCGATTAGAATGGATCATTCAAATCTTAAAAATGAAATCTAATTACTTTCATCAAAAATATACAATCTTACCCTTGTAGTGGTAGTGGTCATTGTAGTTTTTGTAATATTGGAGGGAGATTTACAGCCTCTTCGTCAACCGGACAAACTGGTGTACGTAAGGGTCGACATACCGGGGTCACTGATCTGGTAGTTCGGTCATGCATTGGAGTTGCATAAGGACTGACAGTCCCCTCTGAAGGTGAAATAGATCGTGTGGGACTCACACAAACAGATTGAGATGGTCGCGGACATATTCTAGGCAAACGTTGTATAGTAGAATTAGGAGAACTATATTGTACGGGTGTAGGGCAAGAGGTAGCACGTTGCTGTTGCTTAGGGAGTAGGCAAATTTAAACGGCGGAAGGTCAAGTCCCTTTGTAGATCCAAAGCTCGACCGCTTCTGCCAGCTGGAGTGCAATGCTTGCATATTATAATCATAAACCTGTCAATAAAAATAATGACAAAAAGCATTTTCCTTGTTTGTTAAAACCTACCCTATTCCACATCCACTGGACGTCCCCTATTTATATTAACACGTCCGGGTTTCATACAAACATTAGGCGATTCCTTAAAAATTAAAAAAAAAAACAGATATAAATTTCGTACCAATTAATAAAAAACTTACCGCCTCCGCTAGCTGACGTTGAATTTCCGCTCTTAAGTCGAATTCTCTACCTCTAGCGCTTGCCGCCAATTGTGGCTTACAACTTGCAGTTGCCTGCCTCTCATAGTGGAGAGGAGGTCTTGGACAAGCTGCTGCTTGCTCAGCTCTTAAACGTCCCAAAGCTATCTCCTTATTTCTAGCCATTTCATATTCCAAATTTAAACGACTAGCCTCTTTGACTAGCCTGCTTATGTTGAAACGGCTGCTGCGAACGTTCCATTCGAATACGTGATATATCTAGAGAAGGATCAAAGGCTCTGCCAGAATATTCTTTGCTGGACTTTAACGGGAAAATTTCAATTTACAAAAATATATTATAGTCATTGTACATTAAATTCCCACCATATTTGGACAAATATCTTGCGTAGAATCATCAGTATTAGGAAAACATAAACTTCTATTACTGCGTTCATATGACGATTCCAAGGGACACGGTTTTAGATCTGCTGGGGTAAATGGTCTTCCAGCACTTGAATAAGTTCGTGCACCTCTCGGGCAATTGGCACTTAATTGTTGTGTATAATTTGGATTATGTCCAGACATTTTTGTAAAACTTTTATTTATATGTATAAATTAAACTTTTCGAAGGTTGACTTATGATAGATTTTCCGTTCCTCTTACGGTGTCCAAAATGTTGTAATTTTATTCTATTGCCAACTGTTTTTAGTTGTTTTATGTTTAATATTTGTATAAAATAAAAAAAGTTGTATATATCCGATTTTATTAGAGACAGATTTAAAATTTTGTTGGAAAATGTAGAAAAATTTTGAGTGAACTGAAAAAATTTTGTTTTAGAATTTCTTTCTGTTGTAGAATGTCAATTTCAAAAATTTTATTTTTTAGGGATTTCAAATGAAAATCTATAGTGTTGCGAAACATTTTCTACTTTTATTTTATGTCCTCAGCTCCTTTGAGTAGCTCAAAGATGGTTGTATCAAGTATAAAAACTAGGATCCTAACTCAGTTCAAGTTTAGTTCTATTTAGTTCAGTTCTAGGTTGAGTTCTAGTTGAGTTCTAGTTGAGTTCTAGTTCAGTTAGAGTTCTAGTTCAGTTCTAGTTCAGTTCTAGTTCAGTTCCAGTTCAGTTCTAGTTCAGTTCTGTTTCAGTTCTAGTTCTAGTTCTAGTTCTGTTCAGTTCAGTTCAGTTCTAGTTCAGTTCTAGTTCAGTTCTAGTTCAGTTCTGTTCAGTTCTAGTTCAGTTCAGTTCTAGTTCAGTTCTAGTTCAGTTCTAGTTCAGTTCTAGTTCAGTCTAGTTCAGTTCTAGTTCAGTTTCTAGTTCTAGTTCAGTTCTAGTTCAGTTCTAGTTCAGTTCTAGTTCAGTTCTAGTTCAGTTCTAGTTCAGTTCTAGTTCAGTTCTAGTTCAGTTCTAGTTCAGTTCTAGTTCAGTTCTAGTTCAGTTCTAGTTCAGTTCTAGTTCAGTTCTAGTTCAGTTCTAGTTCAGTTCTAGTTCAGTTCTAGTTCAGTTCTAGTTCAGTTCTAGTTCAGTTCTAGTTCAGTTCTAGTTCAGTTCTAGTTCAGTTCTAGTTCAGTTCTAGTTCAGTTCTAGTTCAGTTCTAGTTCAGTTCTAGTTCAGTTCTAGTTCAGTTCTAGTTCAGTTCTAGTTCAGTTCTAGTTCAGTTCTAGTCAGTTCTAGTTCAGTTCTAGTTCAGTTCTAGTTCAGTTCTAGTTCAGTTCTAGTTCAGTTCTAGTTCAGTTCTAGTTCAGTTCTAGTTCAGTTCTAGTTCAGTTCTAGTTCAGTTCTAGTTCAGTTCTAGTTCAGTTCTAGTTCAGTTCTAGTTCAGTTCTAGTTCAGTTCTAGTTCAGTTCTAGTTCAGTTCTAGTTCAGTTCTAGTTCAGTTCTAGTTCAGTTCTAGTTCAGTTCTAGTTCAGTTCTAGTTCAGTTCTAGTTCAGTTCTAGTTCAGTTCTAGTTCAGTTCTAGTTCAGTTCTAGTTCAGTTCTAGTTCAGTTCTAGTTCAGTTCTAGTTCAGTTCTAGTTCAGTTCTAGTTCAGTTCTAGTTCAGTTCTAGTTCAGTTCTAGTTCAGTTCTAGTTCAGTTCTAGTTCAGTTCAGTTCAGTTCAGTTAGTTCCAGTTCTGTTCAGTTCTAGTTCAGTTCTAGTCAGTTCTAGTTCAGTTCTAGTTCAGTTCTAGTCCAGTTCTAGTTCAGTTCTAGTTCAGTTCTAGTTCAGTTCTAGTTCAGTTCTAGTCAGGTTCTAGTTCAGTTCTAGTGTTCTAGTCCAGTTCTAGTTCAGTTCTAGTTCAGTTCTAGTTCAGTTCAGTTCAGTTCTAGTTCAGTTCAGTTCTCGTTCAGTTCTAGTTCAGTTCTAGTTCAGTTCTAGTTCAGTTCTAGTTCAGTTCTAGTCAGTTCTAGTTCAGTTCTAGTTCAGGTTCTAGTTCAGTTCTAGTTCAGTTCTAGTTCAGTTCTAGTTCAGTTCTAGTTCAGTTCTAGTTCAGTTTAGTTCAGTTCTAGTCAGTTCTAGTTCAGTTCTAGTTCAGTTCTAGTTCAGTTCTAGTTCAGTTCTAGTTCAGTTCTAGTTCAGTTCTAGTTCAGTTCTAGTTCAGTTCTAGTTCAGTTATAGTTCTGTTATAGTTCTGTTTTAGTTGGTTCCCTTACCTTTTGAATATAAAACATTTTTTTAAAAATTTTGCTACTTTTCTTTACAATTTTATTTAAATTATTATCTACTTTCAATAAAGAATCTTACACCGCCTTCTGGCAGATCATAAAATATTTTACTTACGTCGGATTGCTTATAACTACTAATAATATTCAGTCTTTGAAACCCCTTCGATTCTCTCAACTCCTGAAGTTTTTCTTCAAAATCCGCATCCTTTAGCACGCGCTTTTTATGGAAAATATTATCTTTTACATACAAGTTTTCTAAACATCCATTATCTACCACAAAATCATAAAACGATTTTATAACTTGCGGCACATCCGATTTCCATTCTACCGAACCGTCTAATTTGCGATGAAAAATTTTGGTAACAAACCAATTTAGTGTTTTGATGTCTTGTAGATAAGGACACAGATAAAATATCTTCTCCGGCATTCCATTTAACTGCAGGCCCCTAATAGCTTTATAAGGATTTTGTGAGAATATCTTAAGGATCACATATAATATGGTATGATCTTTGGAGGAGAAATAAAAATTATCCTTGGATTCTAATGTCAAGATTTGTAAAGAGGGTAGGTCTAATATATAGTCCAATAATCTGGGTTCATGTAAATAATGTGAACTTAACGTTAATTCTTTCAACTGCAGACATTTAGATATCTCGCCAAAGTTGTGAAAGCAAAATGCTCACTGGGCAAAGTTTGTAAAGTTAATTTTTCCAAGTTGCTAGATAAAATTATTTTTAATAAATCTCCTTCATTAGCATTTAGCACAGTAACATTTCTTAAAGTTAACACTTTCAAAGGTATCAAATGTTCTTTTAAAGAGAATTCTATACAAATATCTTCTAATTGTAATTCCTGTAAATAGGGAAACTTATAAATATGTTGTAAATCTAATATATTATTATCTGTATTCGAATTTTTGGTATTTAATATCTTTAAAGTTAATATTTGCGGAAATTCTTTGTTATTAAATTTATTCATATATTTTTGAAATATTTCTAAAACTATGCCCTGTATTCGGGAAAAATTATTTAATATTAAACTTAAAAAATCCATTTGAAAATCTTTGGTTTGTGTGATAATGGACAAATCTTGCTTATATCGAAGATGTCATCATAGTAGGGATACCAAATATCGTAGAGTATTATATCGTAAAATTGCTGTGATGATTTGAGTAAAGAAATTGTGCTGCTAAGTCTAAATGTTGAAAAAATTTCTCTCAAACAATCGTGGTTTAAATCTTGTAGACGTGTTTGTAAGGGTTTTTGCTGAACGACGGGATGTAAGAAGTTGACTAGGGAGGTAATCTGAAAGAATTAATTTAAATTATTAATAGTGATAATCTGAAAGAGAATGTTCAAGCAAGATCAAATCAAATTGGAGATAGTGGATTAAAAGAGACGTTAGACTGAATTAGAACTAGAACTGAACTAGGACTAAACTAGAACGACTAGAACTGAACTAGACTAACTAGATCTGAACTAGAACTGAACTAGGACTGAACTGAACTAGAACTGAACTAGAACTGAACTAAAAGAACTAAAACTGAACTAGAACTGAACTAGAACTGAACTAGAACTGAACTAGAACTGAACTAGAACTGAACTAGAACTGAACAGAACTGAACTAGAACTGAACTAGAACTGAACTAGAACTGAACTAGAACTGAACTAGAACTGAACTAGAACTGAACTAGAACTGAACTAGAACTGAACTAGAACTGAACTAGAACTGAACTAGAAATGAACTAGAACTGAACTAGAACTGAACTAGAACTGAACTAGAAACTGAACTAGAACTGAACTAGAACTGAACTAGAACTGAACTAGAACTGAACTAGAACTGAAGAGAACTGAACTAGAACTGAACTAGAACTGAACTAGAACTGAACTAGAACTGAACTAGAACTGACTAGAATGACTAGAACTGAACGAGAACTGAACTAGAACTGAACTAGAACTGAACTAGAACTGAACTAGAACTGAACTAGAACTGAACTAGAACTGAACTAGAACGAACTAGAACTGAACTAGAACTGAACTAGAACTGAACTAGAACTGAACTAGAACTGAACTAGAACTGAACTAGAACTGAACTAGAACTGAACTAGAAACTGAACTAGAACTAGAACTGAACTAGAACTGAACTAGAACTGAACTAGAACTGAACTAGACTGAACTAGAACTGAACTAGAACTGAACTAGAACTGAATAGAACTGAACTAGAACTGAACTAGAACTGAACTAGAACTGAACTAGAACTGAACTAGAACTGAACTAGAACTGAACTAGAACTGAACTAGAACTGAACTAGAACTGAACTAGAACTGAAAACTAGAATGAACTAGAACTGAACTAGAACTGAACTAGAACTAAACTAGAACTGAACTAGAACTGACTAGAAAAACTGAACTAGAATTGAACTAGAACTGAACTAGAACTGAACTAGAACTGAACAAGAACTGAACTAGAACTGAACAAGAACTGAACTAGAACTGAACTAGAACTAGACGAACTAGAACTTGAAACTAGAACTGAACTAACTGAACTAGAACTGACTAGAAATACTAGAACTGAACTAGAACTGAACTAGAACTGAACTAGAACTGAACTAGAACTAGAACTAGAACTGAACTAGAACTGAACTAGAACTGAACTAGAACTGAAACTAGAAACTGAACTAGAACTGAATAAACTGAACTAGAACTGACCTAGAACGACTCGAACTGAACTAGACTTAACTAGAACTGAACTAGAACTGACTAAACTGAACTAGAACTGAACTAGAACTGAACAGAATGAACTAGAAACTGAACTAAACGAACTAGAACTGAACTAAACTGAACTAAACTGACTAGAACGGAACTAAACTGAACTAAATGACAAAGACTGACTAGAACTGAACGAGAAACTGAACTTGAACGAATTGAACTAGAACTGACTAGAACTGAAATAGAACTGAACTAGCAACTGAACTAGAACTGAACGAGAACTGAACTAGAACTGAACTAGAACTGAACTAGAACTGAACTAGAACTGAACTAGACTGAACTAGAACTGCAAGACTGAAGAACTGAACTAGAACTGAACTAGAACTGAACTAGAACTGAACTAGAACTGAACTAGAACTGAACTAGAACTGAACTAAACTGAACTAGAACTGAACTAGAACTGAACTAGAACTGAATTGAACTAGAACTGAACTAGAACTGAACTAGAACTGAACTAGAACTGAACTAGAACTGAACTAGAACTGAACTAGAACTGAACTAGAACTGAACTAGAACTGAACTAGAACTGAACTAGAACTGAACTGAACTGAACTAGAACTGAACTAGAACTGAACTAGAACTGAACTAGAACTGAACTAGAACTGAACTAGAACTGAACTAGAACTGAACTAGAACTGAACTAGAACTGAACTAGAACTGAACTAGAACTGAACTAGAACTGAACTAGAATTGAACTAGAACTGAACAAGCACTGAACTAGAGGGTTAGCATTTTTAATTTATTTTATATCACTAGACTTTTTGTAAAAGAGATACGAATTATTTATTAAGATATAATTTATCGCAGTTTTTTTTTAATTTCTTTTAATTAAAATCACTTTCTTATTGAAATCTTCGAGAATAATATTTATTTAGTTACACAATAATATTTACCCTTTTGTGTTATAATTTTATTTTTAGTAACTTTTTCCATTATCTTTCCAATATCGGAAAATAGAAAACTAATCTTTGGTTATGAAGAATGTTATAATACAAATGATGTCTTTACTCTTGTAGTGTTAAACACGTTTTAATCTAAAATGTTGCAAATGTTTTGTTGAGATGCAGCACAAACAACCCCCTTCTATGATTTTTTATGACACTTTGAAATCTTAAAACTTGCTTTTGCTCTCTAGTTCAAGAGACGATTTATGTTGTTTTTTTGTTTCAGTCATGCCCTTCATTGCAACATAATCTTCCACATTTGAAGTATCTTTTTCTGCTCAGAGTTTCAATTTTGAAAATTGAGTTTTGAAACACATGTTTTTGTTGTTGTGTTTTTATTATTATCATCATTTGGCTTTGTTGGGTTATTTTTAGAAAATGCAGCCCTCCTTGCACTCTCTGCCATCTCTTTCTCTTTGTCCTATGTTACATTCACTCTTTCTTGCCTTTTAGGTATTGAAACACTAGGTTTTTATCTTTCTGTGTTATTGTTGTTGTCGTTGGTAATGGTTGCAGCATGCTGCAAATATGCATGTGGCAGAGAGTTTTAGAAAATTAAATGCATCTGTAACACAAAGAATTTCGAAATACAAATCCTTATTGTGGGTTTCATTCACATTTTTAATTTGAATACTTTTTCTGCCTCTTTCTCTTTTAGGGAATTTTTTTGTTGCCAAATTACCTGGGTGAGGAAGTTTTTATTGATTTTAGGAAATTTCTTAAATTTTGCAATATGTGTTTGCTGTTTCCAATATGCCAAATAGTAAATGGGAAGTATTTGTTTATTAGGGACATTTGGTATTAAGAGTTACGTTTGTCTGCTGAGGTTTGTCTAATAAAGTTACTACGAACCCTGACAACGTGATGTCTTTACAGTGTTGGTTAAAATAATAGGACCTTAAAAAATATGTGTGATTAAATTGGAGAAGGGAAATTTTATGACCCTGCAACGATAATAAAAAAACAAGTAAGAAAGTATAGTCGGGCGTGGCCGACCATATGATACCCTACACCAGTTATGAATATTAAATGTGATTTATTTTTCATAATAAAGCATTTATCTTCAATATTTCCTTGTTCCGATACATTTAAGCAATTTATGGATAAAAAACTAATTTTCTGAAAGAGGCTTTATATGGGGGCTAGGGGCAAATATGGACCAAGCCCGATAAAATTTTGTGAATATATTTATATTTACATAATATTTTATTGTGCTGAATTTTATCGCGATATTTGTGTTTATAAGTTAATTTGGGACATTCAAGTAATTTTCTGAAGGGGACTTTGTATGGGAGCTAGGGTCAAATGGGGCCCGATCTTTATGAAATTTGGCAGGGTCATCAAGACTTCTATAAAACTTAGTTGTGCCGTATTTTATCGATATATCTGTATATTTGACATAATTATGAGCTCAGAAGCCCTTTTCGGGGGGTTCTGTTCTATGGGGGCTAGGTGAAATAATGGACCGATTTTAACCATTTTCAATAGGCTTCGTCCTTGGGTCAAATAAAAACGTGCGTGCCAAATTTCATCCAATTATCTTGAAAATTGCGACCTGTACCTTGCGCACAAGGTTTACATGGACAGCCAGCCAGCCAGACGGACGGACGGACGGACATAGCTTAATCGACTCAGAAAACGATTCTAAGCCGATTGGTATACTTTAAGGTGGGCCTAGGACGAATATTTTTGTATGTTACAAACATCAGCACAAATCCAATATACCCTCCCCACTAAAGTGGTGTAGGGTATAAATATAAATTTAATAAAGTTCTTACATACCCTGCTTTCCGGAAAGTTTGTAGTCGAAAATTTTGATTAAAACTTGTCATTTTATTAACACAAAATTTTCAAAAGTGATTTTAAATTGTTTCAAAATCTTTGTTAAATCTTAAGAAATGCAACAATTTTGTAATTATAAATTTTGGTTGGCCTTCGTATTACTAATTTTTACACTAACCTTGTTCCTAATACATTTAATTGAAAGCCGTTACGTGAATTTGCCATATCTTCATTATTCAAGTTATGAAAATGAGCGAAAAAATATTATCGAGGTTGAAAAATGGCTACAGTTTGGAAGTAGAATAAAACTAACTGAAAACGAGGAAAACCTAAATAAAAAATTAATGGTATTAAAAAATCAGGAATATGAAAAATGGCAAAATAATGTTACTTTACGAAAACTAAATGGAAATTTTATGAAAATGCGTCCAATAATACAGAAATCGCTTCTGTATAATATTTTAAAAATAATGCCCAAGGGAGCAGCTTTACATGTCCATGAAGAGGCCTTAGCCAATACAAGATTTCTTTTAAATCTTACTTACGAAAAAGATCTATGGCTTTGTATAGATCCTAAGACCGAGGATTATGTATTTTTAAGATTTTCCTTACAGCAGCCTATTGCAATAGCAGGCTATTTCAATCTTACATGCCAATGGCAACTGTTAAAAGATTTACGCCTAGTTCAAGGTCATAAAGAGATTGATTGGAAATTAAAGAAATCTTTCATATTAAATTCATTAGGCGAACACTCTAGAGTTAAACTGGGTAAAATTAAGCAATTACTTCAAGGATTAATTACTTTTGTTCCCGTTTGGCGGAAATATTTAGCTCAAACTTATTTGGAATGTTTAATGGACAATGTACAATATTTGGAAATGAGATCAAGTTTGCCAGAACTGTATGATTTGCAGGGCAATTATTATACAGATATTGTGGAGCGAATGGATATTATGAGGAATTCTTCAAGACAGATGTCACTACAATCTGGAAATTTGTATGGATCCAAGTTAATTTATGCATTGACGATAGATTATAATAAAACTCAATTTGATTTGGATTTGCAGAACGCAATTTTGCTAAAGGTATGGACATTTTCAGGGTCTGAACTAGAGCTAGAACTCAACTAAAACCGAACTAGAGCTGAACTATAACTGAACTATAACTGAGCTAGAACTGAACTAGAACTGAACCTAGAACTGAACTAGAACTGAACTAGAACTGAACTAGAACTGAACTAGAACTGAACTAGAACTGAACTAGAACTGAACTAGAACTGAACTAGAACTGAACTAGAACTGAACTAGAACTGAACTAGAACTGAACTAGAACTGAACTAGTACTGAACTAGAACTGAACTAGAACTGAACAAGAACTGAACTAGAACTGAACTAGAACTGAACTAGAACTGAACTAGAACTGAACTAGAACTGAACTAGAACTGAACTAGAACTGAACTAGAACTGAACTAGAACTGAACTAGAACTGAACTAGAACTGAACTAGAACTGAACTAGAACTGAACTAGAACTGAACTAGAACTGAACTAGAACTGAACTAGAAACTGAACTAGAACTGAACTAGAACTGAACTAGAACTGACTAGGAACTGAACTAGAACTGAACTAGAACTGAACTAGAACTGAACTAGAACTGAACTAGACTGAACTAGAACTGAACTAGAACTGAACTAGAAATGAACTAGAACTGAACTAGAACTGACTAGAACTGAACTAGAACTGAATAGACTGAATCTAGACCAATGAACTAGAAACTAGAACTGAACTAGAAACTGAATCTAGAACTGAACTCGAAACTGAACTAGAACTGAACTAGAACTGAACTAGAACGAACTAGAACTGAACTAGAACTGAACTAAGAACTGAACCTAGAACGAACTAGAACTGAACTAGAACTGAACTAGAACTGAACTAGAAACTGAACTAGAACGAACTAGAACTGAACTAGAACTGAACTAGAATGAACTAGAACTGAACTAGAACTGAACTAGAACTGACCTGAAACTGAAACTAGAACTGAACTAGAACTGAACTAGAACTGAACTAGAACTGAACTAGAACTGAACTAGAACTGAACTAGAACTGAACTAGACTGAACTAGAACTGAACTAGAACTGAACTAGAACTGAACTAGAACTGAACTAGAACTGAACTAGAACTGAACTAGAACTGAACTAGAACTGAACAAGAACTGGAACTGAACTAGAACTGAACTAGAACTGAACTAGAACTGAACTAGAACTGAACTAGAACTGAACCAGAACTGAACTAAGACGCTGAACTAGAACTGTAATTTTTCAATGAAAACTTCTTTTGCAGTTCTTCTATCCTGACTTTGTAATTGGCATCGATCTGATCAATGACCCTGTTCTGCAGAAAAATGCAAGACCCCTTAAAGAATTTTCCTCCCGTTTACTAAGAATACAGAACCGTTTAGACTTTTATTTCACAACGCCAGACCTCGATTGGCATAACAGCAAAGTGGATGCTGAAATACTAGAATCCTATGTGCTTGGAACAAAACGCATTACTTTCCACAAGGCTCTCTTGCGACACCCATATCTTGTTACCAAATTGGCCTCTAAGAATATGGGAATTATCATAAATCCCATAGCCGATCAATTTAATCACAACATAGCCGATTTAAGAGATCATCCAGCCTCTTTACTTTTCCATTATAATTTACCCTTAATTATCGGTTCCGATTATCCCTTTTACTGGAAAGCAGATCTTTTGACTCATGATTTCTACATGGTTTTTATGTATATAGCTCCCCAGCAGGGAGATTTGAAAATGTTAAAACAATTGGCTTACAATTCGATTTACTACAGCGGTTTAGAAGAGAGTAAAAAACTGGAAGTTTGGAAATTATGGAATTTTTTGTGGTCTCATTGGATTGATGAAGTTAATAAGAGATTGAATAAATTGGAGATAGAAAATTTGTGATTGTTAGAGTTATTAGCAAATTTTGGAATATGTAATATTTTTGGATTAAATTTTTAAGATCTTTTTGTTGTTTTGTTAATTTGTTTATTTGAAAATTTATTACTGAAATTAATTAATAATAAACAATCGTTTTTTGTTTTCTAATTAAAAATCTATAATTAGCAGGTGTTATTTGTTTATTTGCTATTAATGAATTTATATTTTTTGTTTATTTTTTCTGGAAGGGGGCTTTGATGTTTTGTTTATTTTAGTTTTAGCTAAATTTAAAGAATTTTCGTAAATTTTTTTTGGGGTTTGTACAGTCTTATCTTATTTGTTGTACGCAATTAGATTTAAAGTTTGATTATCTTTAAAAAAAAATAATGACATATCAAATTTAGTACTTAATTGAAATATTTTATGTAGTAAATAAGATAACTAAGAATAAAATATTTATGTTTTTGTTTTTGGTTTTTTTCGACTTAATTTATGAAACATATTCACTTGTCGAATACTTTAATCTTTTTTTAAGACAATTTTTATTTATCTTAATTATCTTATGGTTTTAAACCTAAGTATACAAATTATATTAAATTTTGTAATTGAATCCATTAATTTTTTAATTGGCTGAAAAAGTTTTTCCAGTCTACTTTTTATTCTGTTTTTTTTTGATATTTTTTATTAAGTTTCTTGTGTTAAATAGTATGTTCTGAATTGTAACAAATGATCTTGAATATTGCGACCTGTAGCATGGACACAAGGTTTACATGGACAAAAAAAACGGACATAGTTTAATCGAATCAGAAAGTGATTCTGAACCTACTGGTATACTTAAGGACAAATACTATATAGTGTTACGACTTTTGGATAGGTGGTAGTAGTCCCAAATCGGAAGGTCCGGTGCTTGCCGATTTTTCGAAGTTTGACGTAGTTATGAGCTAAAAGACCCAAATCGGAAAATCTGGTTAAATGGGGGCAAGGACAAACATTAGGCCGATCCTAATTAAATATATTGGCGGGATTTATTTGTGTAAAATTTCATAGTGATACTAGTGTTTATAAGTGAATTGTGGACATTCAAGTTAATTTCTGAAGGGGACTTTGTATGGGGGATCGGGTCAAATGAACGAATGTCAGCAGTATCATTTAGACTTAGTTTTGCCAAGTTTTCTTAAAATACTAGAATATTTAACATAATTATGGGTTCTAAAGCCCTATTCTAAGGGTCCGGTTGTGTGGGGGCTAGATGAAATAATTGACCGATTTCAACCATTTTCAATAGCGTTCGTCCTTAGACCAAAACAGACTTACATGCCAAATTTCATCAAATTATCTTTAAAATTACGACCTGGAGCGTGCGCACAATGTTGGACACACAGACTGAAGGACGGACGGACAGCCAGAGGGGCATAACTTAATCGACTGTGAAAGTGATTCTGAGCTGATTGATATAAGGTGGGTGTAGGATCAATATTTTTAATTCATCAGCATCTGTAGCGTACGCGCAAGGTTGGACACACAGACAGACGGACGGACAGACGGACATATGTAGCTTAATCGACTCAGAAAGTGATTCTGAGTTGATTGATATAAGGTGGGTAGTACCAATATTTTTGGGTCATCAGCATCTGCAGAAACGCCTAATACCCTCCCTATTATAGTGTAGTGTATAACTAGACTAGTAGCTAGTAGGGTAGACTAGTAACTAGTAGGGTATAACTAGACCATAAAGATTTTTTCGTTACACTTTTTATTGCCCCGGGTTTTAAAGCTGTTCTGTTCAAATAGACTTAATTGGATTTGGATTAAATGAAGTCCTTACTTCCGCTAAAACGAATCGCTTTTAAATAACGTCATTATTTATTCGATACATAATTGAGCAACGCAATTCGACTATCGAAAATTAGTTTATATTGATTTAGGGTACCATTCAATCGGGCTTGGCCATCTTGATTTCCGTACTTGATTATATTTTTATGCAAAAAAAGGTATATAATTAAATTTTATTTTAATTCAGATTATAAATGTGATAATAAAATATGTACAATTCCTTTCATTACGCAATTTAAAGTTTGCGGTTTTATAACTACCTAGCAGTACGGCGGGATAGTCAAGAACTACTTCTGTAGATTATATCCAGCCTCTGGCTTCCCAGATGACTTGCTATTTAAACATGTCACTTTATAGTAGGGTTCTATAAATAGACTTTCGAATCATCGAACAATCGACTTTTTGTCGAAAAAAGTCGAAGTCGACTATTTTGTTCCAAAAAAGTCGATAACTCGACTATCGTCTGTGAAAAAGGTCAAAAAGTCGACTTTGTTAATAAAAGTCGTAAAGTCTGAAAGTCGAAAAGTCTGAAAGTAGAAAAAAGTCGATAGGTTGAAAAAAGTCGAAAAGTCGAATAAAGTCGAAGAAAGTCGAAAAAAGTCGAAAAGTCGTAAAAAGTCGAAAAAAGTCGAAAAGTCGCAAAAAGTCGGAGAAAGTCGAAAACTCCAAAATTGTAGAAAAAAGTCAAAAATAGTCGAAAATTTTAAAAAAAGTGAAAAAAAATCAAAAACTCTAAAATAGTCGGAAAACCCCGAAAAAAAAGTCCAAAAATAGTCGAAAAAATTCGAAAAAAATCGAAAAGTCGGAAAAAGTCGAAAAAAGTTAAAAAAAGTCGAAAAGTCGACTATTTATAAAAAACTTATAGTCGAAAAGTCGACTTTTAATTAAATGAAAAAAGTCGAAAAATCGACTTTTTATTAAATGCAAAAAGTCGAAAAGTCGACTTTTAACTAAATGAAAAAAGTCGAAAAGTCGACTTTTCGTTTCAACTATAGAACCCTACTATATAGATTATAAAGAGATTGCCAGAAAGCTAGTGTAAAGGTATCAATGCATTGCAATTAACATTTTAGCATAGGTTTGATTTTTTAGTGTATACTCTCTAGTTAACCTGGAGACTGTAAAGTGGCTACAGAATTTGTTCTCGCTTACAAAGGTACACTAAAGTGGCGATTGTCTTTACTCTCGTTTACAAAAAGTACATTCATGACGAAAGACGAATTAGAGCGAAATTACTGTCTTTTCGGATACATAGAATTTTTTTCGAACTGTTGGGAACATTGTTGGAACAATCCATGAGCAATAAATTGAAAATAAAAATGACCCAAAGTAACTGTGCATTTTTACAAATAATTTTCTATATTTACAGCTGATTATTCAAACAAAGTTCAACAAAATCAAAAAAATTTACTAACCATCATATTTTAAACAAATAATTCTTATCAAATTTACTACTAACCCTTAGAGAAATGCACTTTACCCCTCATCTAGCACCTCTTTTGCATGGTCTATGTTGGTGATAAGAATGTTTTTTTTTTTTGCACCACAATAAAAACAACTTATAAATAACAATCGACAATAAAGAAATTTGTGCTAATAAAACTAAACAGAACTTAACTAAAAGAAACCCACAAATATTAATTCGAATAAAATAAATTTTTTATTTTGCAGATAAAATTAAATAAAGAGAAAGAAAGCAACAAAAAAAGCACACGACAATCAACAAAATCACTTTTGAGTACTTGAGAATCATAAACTATAGTTAAATAATACTCAGACATAGAGATATTGTATTTGAGTGAGTACGAGTATATTGGGGAAGTACTTACAGATACAGTTCCATACATAAGCAGTGTATAAAATTGTGAATGAAAGTGATGTATAGAACGAACAGCAGGCGACAGGCTGTTACGATTAAAGATTAAGAAGTAGTTGGCGAAAAGCTATCGCCAAGAACACAACACATTTGTTTTTAAATAAAATACTAAACAATTAAGTGAAAAAGTGTAAATTAATTAACGGAAAGAAGAAAGTGAAATAAATTAAAAGAAAATTCTAAAATGCAAGCATTTAAGTTTTTAAGAACTATTGCTTTCCTAATAGTATTAGCCCTTAGTGAGGCCCGCCGTCTGAGCATAAGAGCCACTAACTTAGTACAACAACCACCACATGTTGAACATCAAGACTCAACTCCACACAGACTTTCACCCGATGCCTATAATTCTCTGCGTGAAATCTTCTTTCGTTATGAAGAATCCAAAACTCTGGGAGCCGATATAATTTTAAATCAAAAAGAGCTACAAGCCAATCAAATTATAATGGAAGTCAAGACCAAAGAATATGAGGAGGGTTTGATAACGCCGCATTTATTTGCCCCCTCCCAGCATTTGTTTGCTGTTTTAGATGAAATCAAAGAATCACCTCTCTTCAAGTATATTTCCAGCCTGCCCAAGGGAGCTGTACTACATGCTCATGATACCGCTTTATGCAGTACGGAATATATAATAAAACTTACTTATCGAGAAAATCTATGGGTATGCCAGTCGAATGAGGATCAAAGACCTGTCAGTTTATTATTTGCTAACGCGCAACCTTCAGCAGATGCGGAAAACAACTGCAGTTGGGAGTTGTTGTCGAAAGTGAGGGATTCACAAGGAGCCGATAAGGTTGATACATATTTGCGTGAACATTTGACTATGTATCCAACAATGAAATTTGTCGATAACAATGAGGCCTGGGAGCGTTTTATGAGTATATTTGGTCTTTTGGGTGGTTTATTGACATATGCCCCCGTCTGGTCGGATTATTTCTATAATGCTTTAGAAGAGTTTCGTGCGGATGGTGTACAATATTTGGAATTGCGTACTACGTTGCCAATTGTAAGTATTGGAGCTTAAAGTAACAAAATTTAGAGAGTTATTAGAACACGAAAAAGGATGTACAATAAGATCGAGTAAGGGTAATGCGATCGTGATTAAGGAAACTATATTATAATTAGTATATCACTTCATGGACGTTTTAGGACCCTAGGATTAAAAAAAGTGACTTTGAAAGATCCTGTAATAAAATTGCTATAACTTCTAAATTTGTAGAGGTTCCTGATGGTATTTAGATTGAATTGGTTCGATTCAAATCAAACTTTATTACCTTGGACCTCCTCAAAACTATTACTATTACTACGACTTGAACAACCGACCACGGAGACATTGCTGTTCCAGTAGCGGTTAAGTATACATATACTCCTAGTCGACATGATTCTATTTCTTTGGAAACCAAGATCCTTTATCCAAGAGATTTGAGACCCCTGAGCCCGTGTTAACCAAATTCCGATTTCCTAAATCTTAACTATCAGAATTATTTGAAAACCAACAACCCCCTGATTTGTACTTCCCAAAAGCTTCTTTTAAATGCTGGAAAAGTTTTATGAATTTTTGTAGAATTTCAATTCCCCAGTAAATTTTTCAGAAAGAACTGTGTGATGGTCTCTTGTTGACCAGCTATCGATTTTCTTAGTGAAACAATCCAGTAATTTACACTTCTTAGAAAACTTTAGTTTTATGACATTTTGAAGGATATAAAGAAGAACTGGACCGTGAATCAAGGTTTAGAAATAGAACAACCGAATAAGAATTTGTAACTAAGTATATAAAACACTGACGACTTTCATGTCTTTGTTAGCCCACTTAGGACCTTTGTTGTTCGCATTCCATTTAAAAATCTAAATCTAAAGGACCCGAACTTCTTGGAGACCAACAAACACTTTTTAGACGTTCGAATAAGTTTATAACTGAAAACCAAAACTTAGATAATATTTACAACTTTATGAAGTATTTGACTCCTCTAAGAAAAGTTCGTTCCCGTTGCACAGTGGTGCATTAGGCCAATCTAGAACGACAAAAGTTTCAACAAAAAAGTTGTTCGACTTAAAATTGACTCACATTTTTCATTCACGTGCAGAAATATTCTATAAAAAAGTAGGCGTGTCCTTATAATACATACGCCTACTTATTTAAAGCATTTTGTTTTTATATACATACCCGACTTCCCCGGATTTAAATCGGTCTTAAGAGTTATTTTCTGTGTTTATTATTCTTCGACTAAGGCTAGAACCACTAATTAACTTGGCTACAGACCCTATTCCAAAAAAATGAATAAATGTTATTTATAACGACCACTCATTACCAAGTAATGTATGAAATAACTACATTACCTATATCTAATTACCAAAAATTTTAAAATATTTTATTGGGTTGATCATGTCGAAGGTGCCCTACTTTGAGTCCTCACAGCGCCGTCCATAAAACATTTGAGTGGTTCGAACGAACGTTCATTTGTTACGCCAATGTCGAATTTTAACCAGAGCGGACCGGTTAAGTTACCAAGCACCATAATACTGTATACATCGTTGATCTAGAAGGAGCTTATAAAAGTATTAAAATATTATTCCCATTATCGCGTACCATTTATCTCAAACATCTTAACAGAGTCAGATTTTAGATTTACAGGAGTAAAGACTATATCTTAAGGCCTAAACCGTTATCGTTACCACTTCTCCCCAAAACATCCAGAAATTATTAGATTTAAGATTTACCAGAGATTCCTTAGTCTTAGGTTCCAAACCGAGTATATACAAAGCCACAATATATGTATATCCCAGATCTTTAAAAATTAGACAAGTATTCAAAAATCATCCTAAACATCATACCCACTTTCATTTCAAAATCAGATCCATGGTCGGAAACCATCTTAGTCATATCACCCAAATAATTCTTTACTAAAGTAACCTCCTCATAATTACAGCTTTATGATTTACAAGGTACCGAGCACACTGCACTTGATACGGTAGATACCTATAAACACACTTTGGATATATTTATGAAAGAATATCCAGATTTCATAGGAGCAAAATTGATCTATGCACCCGTACGTAATGTAGACAATAAAACTTTTATGGAATATGTAGACATATTGTTGAAAGCGAAGGTAAGAAGAAATCTTAAACAACAACAATAACTAATGAAAGATAATTTAAATTTCTTTATTCATGTAGGAAAAATATCCCGATTTAATAGCCGGTTTCGATTTGGTGGGTCAAGAAGAAATGGGTCGACCTCTAAAAGATTTCATACCTCAACTATTAAGCCTGCCCGATAATATTGATTTCTATTTTCATGCTGGTGAAACTAATTGGTTTGGTTCTACGGTAGATGAAAATCTTATAGATGCCATTTTATTGGGTACAAAACGTATTGGTCATGGTTTTGCTTTAGTTAAACATCCTTTAGTGTTGCAAATCTTAAAGGAACGCGATATAGCTGTAGAGGTTAATCCCATATCTAATCAGGTTCTACAATTAGTATCGGATTATCGTAATCATCCTTGCTCTTACTTTTTTGCTGATAACTATCCAGTGGTTATATCCTCAGATGATCCTTCTTTCTGGAAGGCTACACCTTTATCACATGATTTTTATATAGCTTTCTTGGGCATAGCTTCAGCACATTCAGATTTAAGATTACTCAAGAAATTGGCTTTAAACTCTATTAACTATAGTTCCATGAGCGCGGAACAAAAAGTGGTGGCTATACAGAAATGGCAAGAACACTGGGATTCTTATATAGATAGTGTGCTAAATAAAAATCCCTCTAATAGTGCCGACCAAATAAGATTGAACACCAATAAAATCGATTGACTAGCACGCCTGCTGTACGCTTTATTAACTGTCTTCAGTTTTGGTTTCTATTTTAGTTCGTAAACATAATTTATGGCCGATTAACCACCTTAACAGTAAACATTTTTATGGCGTTTCAGCAGTCTTTTGATAAGTCCAAACGGAATTTATTTTAAATAAATTAATAAATATTTACAATTTGTGTATGACTTGTAGTTAATTGATGGATTTGATTGATTTGGAATTGCACGTTTTTGCCTCAATTTTTATTTGAATTTTTATATTTCCTTTTTTTTTTGGTTTTATTAGCTTTAAGTTTTGCTTTAATTAGATTAGATAAGATTTAATAAAAACAATTGTATTACGTACAAGAATTTTTTTGAAACAATATGTGAGGAAATATGAAGTAATATACATATATTTATTAATGATTTAATTTATGAGAAAATTTTGTTAAGTTTAAATTTTTATATACGTATTTTTTATAAGATTAAAGAATTTATTTTTTATTTTACAACAAAGATCTTCAAATAAATGTATAAATTATTAATAAAATTTAAAATCTTTTTTATTTGAATAATAGTTTTTCTACGCTTTTATATCGAACACAAGTTGTTTTCAGTAATATGTAACTAATACCTCCGAAGTAAATCGAAAATGGAGTTCCCCTGCCAAAACTTTTATGTATTCCAGTGAAGGTCTTTTGAAAGTCTAACTTTTAGTGAAAAATTAAATTTTTACACAAAAAATTGGATTTTTTTTTAAACTGAAATTTTTAGTAAAAATCTCATTGTCACTATTTTTTTTTTAATTTTTTTTTATAGAGAAATTGAATTTTTAGTGAACGATTGGATAAATAATATCGAATAATTGGATTCCTAAAAATATGGATTTTTAGTAACAAATAGAACTTTTAGTTAAAAAATCAGATTTCTGGGGAAAAGTCCAACTTCAAAATATAGTCTAGTCTAGTCTAGTCTAGTCTAGTCTAGTCTAGTCTAGTCTAGTCTAGTCTAGTCTAGTCTAGTCTAGTCTAGTCTAGTCTAGTCTAGTCTAGTCTAGTCTAGTCTAGTCTAGTCCAGTCTAGTCTAGTCTAGTCTAGTCTAGTCTAGTCTAGTCTAGTCTATAGTCTAGTTTATAGTCTAGTCTATAGTCTAGTCTATAGACTAGTCTATAGTCTAGTCTATAGTCTAGTCTATAGTCTAGTCAATAGTCTAGTCTATAGTCTAGTCTATTGTCTAGTCTAGTCTATAGTCTATTCTAATCTATAGTCTAGTCTATAGTCTAGTCTACAGTCTAGTCTATAGTCTAGTCTATAGTCTAGTCTATAGTCTAGTCTATAGTCTAGTCTATAATCTAGTCTATAGTCTAGTCTATAGTCTAGTCTACAGTCTAGTCTATAGTCTAGTCTATAGTCTAGTCTATAGTCTAGTCTATAGTCTAGTCTATAGTCTAGTCTATAGTCTAGTCTATAGTCTAGTCTATAGTCTAGTCTATAGTCTAGTCTATAGTTTAGTCTATAGTCTAGTCTATAGTCTAGTCTATAGTCTAGTCTATAGTCTAGTCTATAGTCTAGTCTATAGTCTAGTCTAGTCTAGTCTAGTCTAGTCTAGTCTAGTCTAGTCTAGTCTAGTCTATAGTCTAGTCTAGTCTAGTCTATAGTCTAGTCTATAGTCTAGTCTATAGTCTAGTCTATAGTCTAGTCTATAGTCTAGTCTATAGTCTAGTCTATAGTCTAGTCTATAGTCTAGTCTATAGTCTAGTCTATAGTCTAGTCTATAGTCTAGTCTATAGTCTAGTCTATAGTCTAGTCTATAGTCTAGTCTATAGTCCAGTCTATAGTCTAGTCTATAGTCTAGTCTATTGTCTAGTCTAGTCTATAGTCTAGTCTAGTCTATAGTCTAGTCTAGTCTATAGTCTAGTCTATAGTCTAGTCTATAGTCTAGTCTATAGTCTAGTCTATAGTCTAGTCTATAGTCTAGTCTATAGCCTAGTCTATAGCCAAGTCTATAGTCTAGTCTATAGTCTAGTCTATAGTCTAGTCTATAGTCTAGTCTATAGTCTAGTCTACAGTCTAGTCTACAATCTAGTCTATATTCTAGTCTATAGTGTAGTGTATAGTGTAGTCTATAGTGTAGTCTATAGTGTAGTCTATAGTATAGTCTATTGTCTAGCCTATAGTCTAGTCTATAGTCTAGTATAGTCTATAGTCTACTCTATAGCCTATAGTCTAGTATATTGTCTAGTCTGTAGTCTATAGTTTAGTCTAGTCTATAGTCCAGTCTATAGTCCTGTCTACAGTCTAGTCTGCAGTCTAGTCTATAAACAACTATGAGTTATATATTCGTCAGTAGTCTAATCAGATTCTTAGTTCTATATACGTTTAGGCTGAAATCGGTCCATAATTGGTTAAATCTCACATATAAGTTTCACATCCCACACATTTCATTAATAAATAAGGATATCGGGATAAACTCTTAGAGAAATATCCTGATTCTTAGTAAACAAGGAATAGTTCTATATTCGGCTACGCCGAAATCGGTTATATAATATATCTCCCATATCAAGCCTACATCCCACACATTTCATTAATAATTAAGGATACAATTCGACATGAGTATATTCCGTGTATAGATTTATCATTCTGAGAAATTGTTGACCTGGTATTACTGTGTAATAATCCAATTTGTGTAACTTTTCACCTATTTGTCCTAGCAAAAATTGTCCAAAGGACATAAGATAGCTATTTCTTCAATCTAAAATTTGTATACCCTACACCATTATACTGGGTAGGGTATTATGTGTTTGTGCTGATGATTGTAAAACCCAAATATTGATATTGATCCTACACCCACCTTACAATAAATCATTCGGCTCAGAATCATTTTCTGAGTCGATTAAGCTATGTCCGTCTTTCCGTCCGTCTGTGTGTCCATGTAAACCTTGTGCGCACGTTACAGGCCGCAATTTTTAAGATGATCCTACACCCACCTTACAATAAATCATTCGGCTCAGAATCATTTTCTGAGTCGATTAAGCTATGTCCGTCTTTCCGTCCGTCTGTGTGTCCATGTAAACCTTGTGCGCACGTTACAGGCCGCAATTTTTAAGATAATTCGATGATATTTGGTCCATGGACGAACGCCATTGAAAATGGCTGAAATCGGTTATACTACGTCAAATATACTTCTATATTTCCAAAAATTGGCACAACTAACTTTAATACATATAAGCATAAATAATTACCTTAAATTGTACCAGTCGGTTCAGAATCACTTTCTGATTCGATTAAGCGTACGTCTGCGTCTCCGTGTAAACTTTGTGCACACGCACCTAGTCGCAGTTTTCAAGATAATTTGATAAAATTCTGTACATATGACAAAGGCTGTTGAAAATGGTTGAAATCGGTCCACTATTTCACCTAGCCCCCCACCGTTTATGGCTTTTGAGTTCATAATTATATTAGACTTGTATCTCGTCAAAAAGTGGCACAACTATGTTTTTTATAAGCCTTGATGACCTTACTGAATTTCATAATATTTTTTTCAAAATGGGCCCTTTTTATACCCTTCACCAGTCTGTCAGTCTTTCTGTATGTAAGTCTGATGAAATCTATTTTCTAAAAACCCCATATATCTTCGGGATTCAAATCATTTTTGGATTTGATTTTTGTTGTTTTTTGTAAAAATATACAAAATTCTTATTAAAATATCAGATTTATAAAGAAAAATTGGATATTTAAAGCATTTTGAAAATTTTTTTAGTAATTACTTGAAAGTGAAAAAATTTGTTTTATATATGAGATCCCCTAAAATAATCATTTATCTCATTGTATGGCTAATATTAATTCACACTACCCAATAATTAAAACTATCTCCTAAAAGTATGCTTTAATATCTTATTTTCTGTTTCAGTTTAAGTGCCTGCAGCTAAACATGTGCGTACACAATCATTCATGTCGAAAAGGGGAAAATCTAATTTCTGCTCATATTTCTTGATGCTTTAACACTCATTGCGTAAATTTGATTTGTTTGTTGCATAAAAATGATTGTACAAAATATTTTCTTTTCAAAAAGTATAACTTGAAAAAAAAAGTAAAAATCCTTTCCAAGCAAATCTTGTGCAATGTGCTCGTAATTCTTTCAGAGTTTGTTTTTTTCTTTCAAATTTTTTCACTTTTGTTATTTGTGTAGGGGTGTGTGTGTTTAACAAATTATACAATATTTTGCAGATGCTCCTTTTTGTACTGAAGTGTAGGAGTTGGAAATTAGATAGCAGCAAAAGTTTAGGGCAAAATTTTGATGAAAAAGATCTAGTTTTTTCTATAAGATTAAAATATGATTAAAATCTATTTGGAATTAAAAAATATGATTTTAGTTTTTTGTCCCAGTTTACTGTTTTGAATCACACTACTGCTTCATAAATGCATATACTAACATAGTTATGTATGTAGTAGCTAAAAAACATTTTCATACATACCACATGCTATTGAAAATTGTAGAAGTAAGAAACTGGGCACTTCAATCTTAGATTGCAATTTAGGATTTTATTTTTGTGTACATTCAGCACAATTCTAGCTATGCAAGTAATTTACACAAATACATACATTCACTACGAAGGACAAACACATACATATGTACATAAACCCCCATTTCAACAAAAACATATTCATAAAATTCAGCAATGAAAATAGTTTAAGGAAAATTGAACAACTTTTTCTAGTAAATGAATTGTTAGACTGACTGACAGACGGACGTATGTTGCCCGTTCTCTGAGTGAGTGAGTATTTGGTCATTAATGCCTTTCTTGCTTTAGTCCATTGGTTTCACATTCTTTTATTGATTTACTCGTTCAGTCATGCATGTGTAATAAGTAACAGAAGTACTTATTTTGGGTTTTGGTATCATAACAATTTCAATTGTATGTGGTGTTTTGAATGGAATCTCAACAAAAACATGATAATGACTTATACTTACTTAACAACTTACTTTTCAATGACTACTACATACCGTCTATATTATTAAGAAGGAGTTTAGTAATGACTTACAAATAATATACTATGTAAACCCTAACTTTTTACGATTTGTTTTAGAACTCTGTTTTCACAAACTAAAAAAATTCTTTCTGGTGAAAACATTTTTTTTGGCATTTTTTCTAACGAACTAAACTAACTACTTATATTTCTGTTTGCTGGCGATCGTAGTATGTACTTACCTAACTAACTCCCTATTTGTAAGCGAGCAT